CCCATCGTTCAGTTATCATCACCTGGGCCACGGGCACAGATCCCAGGAGGGAAGTAAAAGCTCATGCAAGGCTCTTGGGGAGAGACAGAGCACAGTCAGCCCCACCACCTCACACCACACTCTTGTGCAGAGCAGTGCATCCGCTCCCAAACACTTCTGGAAACCTCGCTTGACCCTGGCAGGGCTGTGAGGCTCAGCAGGGAAACAAAGGCAGCATCAAGTGACTTGCCTGAGGCCAAAGAGGCAGTCAGTACCAGGCCACCATCAGGTCGTGGGCGTTTCCTGCCCCAAGCCTCCTCGCCTGGCCTCACCTCCAGTGAAGGCAGCTCTGCACAGGGTGATGGAAAAACAAGCTGCAAGAGGCATGACCTATTCCCACCCAGGCTGTGTGGGTTCCCTTTGCTTTGCATAGGGCTTGCAAAAAGACTCACTGGTAGCCTGACTTGGCATTAATTCACAAACTTAAAAGGCTATTCTGCTTTTTTGTGGTTGGCACCCTAGAATATGTCAGCCTCTTAGCTGCTTTTGCCCCCATCTTCCCTGATCGGCATACAGCTAAAACATAATGTGCTTACCGTGTTTCACTTGCTTTAATGTAGATGCAACCTGATAGCTGAAGACAGACTCACAAAGAAATCTTTCCGAGCCATCTGTAAATAGAAAAAGGGAGGTGGTTTCATCTGTTCTGAGAGCCCTGTGATGGAGCAGCCCTAACTATGGCCAATATTGTTATATTTGAGCTGTGGGTTTGCCCATCTGTCTAGTTTCAGTGCTTTCTCTTGCAGTAAGCGTGCAGCGCTTTGGTTTCTAGGCCTTGCAGTCAAATCCTACCAAAGGTTTCAGCTGGGGCTGGCAGGCAGGCAGGTGGCTGTGCTACCTGGGAGCCATCGCTTCTGAGCACGGATCGCTCGCTGGCTGGGAAGCAGCCACTGCTACAGCAGTGTCAGCAGGTCTGGTCCACCCAGCCCACGCTTCCTTCCTGGGGAGCTTCCTGGGGTGTGAGGGGCAAGGGAAGAGGGATGGGGGGGGCCGGAGCTGCCCCACTGAGTCTTGTGCAGCCAAGCAGAGAGCAGGAAGCAGCTCTGCTCCCTTGGAACTGCTGCCACAAGGAGCTCCACTCACAGGCATGCAGCTGTGTGAGATATACAAGGGCAGAGGCGGACAGCCCCACAAGGAGCTTGCTACAGCCCAGCTGCTCCCATTCATGTGAAGCAGCACAGGCATGCTGCTCGTGCACCAACTTTGGGAGCCCTGTGGCTTGAGGCCACGACTGCAGCCGATGGGCTCCAGCAGCTGCCGCATGCATGCAGCAATGACACTTGCAGCTAGAGAGGACATGTGAGAGAAAACTCAAAGCTCTCCCTTTGTTTTTATGTTTAACACCAAAAAGCCAGCAACTGAAGCTGTATGTGCCAGCAGCTTAACCACCTAGACATGAAGTGCACTGACACCTCCTTGCTTGAATAAAACCATACTGGGTTTGGAAGAGAAAGGAGAATGGCCAGGAATGGCCATTCAAGATGGATTTCCATCAAGCTGGTGAACCCCCTCTGCTCCAAACAGCTGCTTGGAAGGGACCTGTGTTGGCTCACAGTAAGAGGCTGTGACCCTTCTGCAGGCTGCTGAAAGCCAGCACCTGTCCTCATGACCAGCAGCAGACCTGGCAAGCCGTACACACCTGATGGAAACTGCAAAGAGCTGCGTTACTTGAGCCCTCACCTCCCTCAGACATGTGGAGAATCACACTCTGCCATGGCATTTTGGTTCTAAGTCAGTTGAATGAATTCCAGAGTGCTGTCAGATTGACACAGGGGCTTTGCTCTTAGTAAGGCTGCAAATCCACAAATACTGTTACATTCCCTCCATCAAGTAATTTTAGTCTGTTTTTAAATAGAAGCTAAGCTAAGCAGAAGCTAGCAAATATTACGACAGCCTCTGATTCCCTCGGGGCTCAGACACTTGTGTCCTTACAATGCTTTATGATTTCCCATGGGCATAGGCCATAACCCCACACAAGGGATTTCAAATAACGTGCATCTTACAAGCTAAATCAGTTAACTGATCATGCAACATCTGAGGAGTAAAGCAGCCTGGTATACAGTGCTAATTGTGTGCCAAGGACTAATGTGGCTTATGCCACTTCCTTTTCCAAAAAGGACTGATTTAGCAACAAGCGAATTACAGTGCCAATAAAAATCAGTCAGTTAGCAGGGATTTTTGAGAAGGAAACAGGTACGCAGCTACCACACTAGCAATTGCCTGAAGAAGGTATGAATGTTATCACCTGCTATCTCAGAATGAAGAAGCTAAAGTTTCCTGTGACAGGGAGAGTGTACAATTGCTGCTGCCACCCAAAATGGATTGGTCAGCCCAAAATAAAATCAAGTACATGCCGCTCACTGTTAAGATGAGGAAGAGCAGCAGCTCTAAGGCTGAGGGGACAAATGGAGCCCTGGCAACAGGCCTGGACAACTAATCTGAAGTTGAGTCCTGGGTGAGAAGGAAGAATTGAGCTGCACCACAATCGCAACATCCTCTCTTGCAAGCTCTCAAAATACTGTGTTAATGCTGCACCATTTTCAAGCATAACTAGCGCTGCTCAAATGCTCTCATTACCTCTGTGGGAGACAACTGCCTTCCCTCTCCTCGGATTCCCCATTTGCCTCGAGCCCAGCCATCCAGGCTGAGCAGCTCTCAGGAAGAACAGTTGCCTGTCTATTTGCTAACATGAAGTGCTTCATTATTTTAATTTGTTTTGAGGACTCATTAAGTTCTATGAACAACTCTTTAGTCATAATTACCTCAATAGACTGGCATAAGGACTCTAATGTGTAATAAAAACAGCGATTACAACACAGAGCTCAGTTCCCAGCTGTCCTGCGCTGCCATGTCATGTCCATACCTAGGGAAACCCAGGCATGTCTGAGCCACAGGGCCAAGGCCAGCTAATATGGCCCTGTAGAACACCGTGGGGGGATTGTGCTCAGTCTCCAAAAGTCAGGAGAGAGGTCTAGTCCCTATTTGCTGCTGAATTTGTGCCATACAGCAGGAGGCACGCCTCCAGCTAGGTCAAGGGTCCTTATCATCCCTTCATGCTGCTCACGCAGATCCCTGCAGCAAGGCCTCAGCTCGCATTGAGAGCCAAAACAAGCCTTGCATTTCCTGGCTAGCAGGGACACAGGCTGCCTTCTGTACTAGCCCAGTCCAATCTAACCCCAGAACTTCTTTTGCCAAGAAAAATACTCCTGCCTCAGCTATCTTTACAGTAATTCCTGTCCGACTTCAAAGGATAAGCTAACAATGAGCAATTAATGCTGTCATGTTCCCTTTCAGGTGGATCACTTCCTTGTCTGAAGCACTGTCACGGACTTAAAACTGAGGTGACTGCAAGAAAAGTCACTTCCTCACAAGTGATGGTAGGCAGGGAGCCACCAGGCAGGCCATGGGAAAAGGCACTGCGACAGGGCCCGGCCCTGGAGCTTCCTTCCTCCCCCTGGCTTCTGCCAGCCCAAGTCTGAGCGGGCCCTGGGGTCCCATGCTTGTGGGGAAGGAGGAGGTGCAGAAGTCAGCCTGTGCAATCACCTTCCAGCATCTCCCCGGCTCCCTTGGGGTAGGTGAAGAGGGCCTTTCGGGGCGGTGCCAGGTCCGAGACACTGAAACCGGATCCTGTCACAGAGCTGCCACTGACTCCGCCAGCTGAAGAGGATGAAGAGGAGGCGGCCATTTCACCCCGTCCCAACCTGCAGCCATGGAAGGGAAGCAGAGCACAGTTAGGAAGGGCACCTCAGCGGCAAATTTTCTCACTTCTGGGCCAAGACATCAGTGCTAACGGGTGCATATAGGACCAGGAGCCTCGTCCCAAACACCCACAGGGGCAGGAAGCCAGCCACAGGGTGCATGCCCCGGCCTGCGCACATCCGCTCTGGCTGCACCGCTGGAGTTCCCCAGCACATCGCAGCGGCGGGGCACGCAGCCAGGCACGCCCATCACGGCTGACTCCAGAGCCGGCCGCTGAGAACGGCTGCGGCTTTGCACCCTGCTTAGCCGCAGGCAGCTGTCACACCCCACGGCAGCACCCCCGAACGGCGGGCAGCCCTCGGGCCGACCCTCATAGCGAGGGGCCTGGGAACGTCGCGGGATTGCTGCAGCACATAAAAATAACCTGGTGCAGGTCGCTGACCCAGCTCCGCAGGCTGTCAGCTGCTTGGCTCTGCTCCTGCTCCCGAGAGCCATAAAAAGACTTCTTTATTTTGGCCTCATTTCCAGGAGCACAAACACAGAGAAAGCCCCACTCCCTCATACAAGCTGGAAGCTTGCAGGACTGCCAGTTCCCGTGCACATCCTGCGCGAAGCCGCACCGCGCCCCGGCTGCAGCAACAGCGCCCTGCCTTGCATCAGCGCCCGCCTCGCGTCAGCTGCCCTCACAGCGTGCCCTGGCCTCCTGCAGCAACAAACAACATCTGCCTGTTCAGCACAAGGCTGGCCGCTGCTCGCCTGGCTTCTTCTCAGTCTTTCTAGAGCGACTGTGTGTTGCTGCGTTGGTGGGAATGGGACGTTTAGCACTTATCAGGTACCTCCCTCAACGCTGGGCTGAGGGAGCCACTGCTCCCTCAGCCACTGCTGGGCTGTTCTAAGTGACAGCGCTTGCTGCTCCAGCACAGCGCTTAACACTGCATCCCTCCCCACTACAGGTGTTTCTGTTCAGCACCTTTTGGCAGGCTCTTTTATGTGTCGTTGAATCATACAGTGCCCTATTACACCAGATATTTGGAAGAAATTCTTTACTGGGAGAGCGGTGAGACGCTAGAGCACCCAGACTACCGAGGGGTGAATGGCCCCCCCGAGGCTTTCATCGCCCGCCATTTTGTGTGTGGGACGAGGCTGCCCGCCCGCGCGTGCGCCGCCCCGCCCCGCCCCGCCCCCTGCCCACACTCCTGCCCCGCATGCAGCGGCTTCCGCGGCGCCAGTGCGCCTGCGCCCCCCCCCCCGGGGGGGCGGCCCCCCCCCCCAACCGCCGCGCATGCGCCACACCGCGGCCCCTCCCCGGCTTCCGTAGCGAGCCGCTTCCCGGTGAGTGCGGTTCTTGCCGCCGACGCTCCGCTCCCGCCCGGTCGAGCGCCCTCCCTCTCGCCGCCCGCCCCCTTTCCGCCTCCCTCTCGCTGCGAGGCTCGACTGCCCGCTCCGGGCCTCACCTGGGCGCCCGCACCGCTTGGCGCAGGCGGCGCGCGTGATCGCGCTCGCGGTGCATGCTGGGCCGGGAGGGCGGGCGGGCGCGCACTGCGCGCGGCCCCAGCCGACTTCCGGTGGGGGAAGAGGGCGGTAACCTTGGAACGGCGCTGTCGTGGGGCGTGTTCGGGGGTTGGTGGTTCTACGTGTGTGGAGCGAGGTGTGGGGGAATGGAAGCCATGTGGCCGCGAGCGCCGCGGCTCGGCAGGCAGCGTGCACGGGAGCCTCGGGAGCGGGCTCTGTGCCTACCCTGTCAGTGCCGTGGTAGCGCTCCCACAAACGCTCCGACGCAGGGCGGCGTGCTGCCGGAGCTCTTGTTCGCTGGCGGGAATCTGTTCTAAAAGCGCCTGGGTGAGCGGAGTTGTTGCACGTAACCGTTTCGGTGGCGTGTATAGGTTTGAGGTCTGATCGACCGTACTGCTTGCCGTGCTGCTGCACGCCTGCGTGTGTTTTCCACAGCGAAAATCAGCCCGCGTCTCTCTGGAGCACGTCCAGAATTGCCTCCGTTTGTCTCAAACTCGGTGTATTTTTTTCACGGGGAATCTTGTTTTTTGTATTTTCTGTGGAAATAAAAGCACCATGTAAGCTCTGAGAAACACGGGGGCCACACAGAGTGGTGCACTGAGGTGATGCAGAAATGCCGTACAGGGCTTACATGGTTTTTAATGTTTTAATATCTTTAGGCTGAAGGGAACCTAGGTGCCTGATGTCCTGTAGCAGGGCAGCTGGAGGGGAAGCTCAGCCTTCCTCAGTAGAAATAATGAAGGGCCCACAGAAGGGCAACACAGCTGTGAGCTGGAGCCAGGTGTCTTATGGGGAGTGGCTGAGGGAATTGGAATTGGGATGGGTCAGTCTGGAGAGCAGGGGAGACCTCATCGCTTTCTGCAGCTCCTGAAAGGAAGTGGTGGAGAGGTGGGGTTGGCCTCTGCTCCCAGGTAACGGTGAGAGGTGACAGCCAGGGGGAGTTGTGCCAGGTGAAGGTCAGATTGGGAGTTAGGACACGTTTCTTCTCAGAGTGGTGGTGCATAGGCACAGGCTGCCTGGGGAGGTGGGGGGGTCGCCGTCCCTGGAGGTGTTGCAGAGCTGTAAAGATGTGGTACTGAGGGACGTGGGCAGCGGTCTGGTGATTAAACAAGATGACCTTAGGAGTCGTTTCCAACTGTAATGATTCTATGCAAAAGGATAATGTGAGATATGCTGGTGTGGTTGGGTCACAGCCCTTGCAGAGCTGCTGAATGCTGACAGGGTTTGAGGAGCTCAGAGATACCTCTCAGGGCTCACCTGCCCTCACACAGCTGCGTGTGTGTTTGCAGCTCACTGTCCTTGGAAGAGCAGTGTGATGGATGTCCTACGGCCCACCCTGGTCAGGATCGGTGGGCGAGTGTACAGGAAGAACGTCATTCATGAGCAGGTCCAACAGCAGGAGGAGGAGGACTTCTACACAGGTGTTGTGCCGCACGGGATCACTGCAGTGGCATGGGACAGAGCTGACACTTGGTGTTGCCTCTTGTGTCTGTGTGCATGAGGGCCTGTCTGTGTGGTGGAATGAGCTGTGAAAAGCAGGAAGAAAAACACTTTGTGTTGGGTGATCACTGTGACCAAAGAGTGGATGTAGCCATAATTACTCAGTATGAGTTTGTGTGTCTGTGTTGCTGGCTGTTGATCACTTTTGCTGGCTCTGAATGATCGCTAGTAAAGAAAAAAAAGCCACACCTTGGCTCTGTAGATCTGTTTTTCACGGGTTCTGCTTTGCTTTTTGTTGTCTTTCTGCCTACGTGTTTGTTGTAGTTCTGTGTGAGTTGTAGACAGAAAAAAAGTCCCTTTGCTATCTTTCAGAGAGAATTGTGACCGTGGTGTTTCTCCTTTCCACCCTGCCCTTCAGTGCATCAAACAAAGCAGTTATAAGCTGCCTGCTACCTGGATCCATCCCTGTATGTGAGAGGAAGCATAGAGAACCCCCTCAGCCTCTTTCTGGAAAGTGTATTTGATTTTAACAGGCACAAATCTCTGGACCTTTGAACTAAACTTCCTCACCTTCTATTTTTATTCTTCTGCGACTTATAAATTTCTGCTCCAGTGTCTCTGTGTGTTGTTGGAGAGCGGTGCAAAACTTGGAGGAGGGCATTCCCACCAAGCTGTTGCACAAATTGCAGCCAGGATGAAGCCTGGGCTCTGAGAGTACGGGCTCTGCACCTCCCAAGCAGGGCAGATTTTGAAGCAGTCATTATGTTTTTTTGAAGCTGGTACAAGGTGAAATAAAAAGCAGTTAGTTGCAGCAGAAGGGAGTATGTCTGTTGCTATCTTCAACCTCAGGGGAAGGCTGTGAGTCTGTTGTCCTACATAGCGCTGCTTTTCCTGGTAGGGCCCAGTGACTGTGCGGATGAACCATGCGATGCCTTTGTGGTGGAAGAGACTGAGAAAGGCTTCCAGTGCAGAGTGGAGGTTCCCAGCCCCTTATACAAGTGAGCCTATTGGGTTCTGGTTTCTGTGAGTTGCCTTTGACTGGGAAAGCTTTTCTGTGCAGAATATATTTTGGCGGGGTTCAGGGTAAGCGCCAGATCTCTGTTTTGTGTCTGTCCTGCTTCTGGGAGAGGAAAATTGGCAATGCCTTTCTACTGCCACGCTTGACTCCTAGCCTTTGCTGTGGCAGAGACAGCAGGTGGTGCTTTCTGGCTGGTAGGAGAGTGTTTGAGCATCTCTTCCCTTGAACATGAAAGTGTCAGCGAGAGTGGAAAAAAAGGAGAAAGAACTGGGGTGAGCAGCCTGCCAGGGGGATTTGTGAAAGCTTTGAGAGAAAGCACACGCACCTGGAACCGGCTGTTGACTCAGATCTGATGTTCACTAGGAAGCCTGCCACGTTCAAAGCTTTATCCAGTTAGTTTTTACAGTTTTATGGGTTAAATAGTTTTACTGAACTGTAGAGAGGGAAAGGTATTCTTTTGTTTTTTGGATGCTGGCAAATGACTATCTCGAGCAACGCACCAACTGGGAAGTGTCATTAGCTCTTTGTCTGGGGTTATTGGGGGGGGGGGGGGAAGGGGATAACGTGGATGGTAATGCTGTGGCAGGATGTGCCTCAGCTGAAGCAAGTTGTAAGCCACTGCCTGTCATCCTGTGGCCACAGGCTGATAGCAGCCACAGGGCCTGCATCCTGAGCTGGTTGCATGTGTCCTCTGACATGGACATGTCGTGTGTTAGGGGAGCCACTGGGGCAGCTGGGCTGTGGTCCCTGGTGAGGAGTGGTCCAGCCATGCTGTGCTGTTCTGCTTTTATACCTCCAGGTACATAATAGGGAAGAAAGGAGAAACCAAGAAGAGACTAGAAACAGAGACTCGAACCTCAATCAGCATTCCCAAGCCTGGAGTGGAAGGAGAAATTGGTGAGTGTTCTTTCACTGGCTCTTCCATGGACATGATTTGAGCAGGGAGGAGGAATAGGAGGTGTTTTCCTTTAACTCCTGCTTCTGGCCCTGGCTCTCTTTATAGCCCTGGGAAAACCACCTCCCTTTTGAGCTTTTTTTCCTTGACTGTAAACCTCTATAAAACAGAGTAAGAATCTTGAGGAGGGGGAAAAAATTCCCTTTTAAGCCTATGTATACTCTCACTGAAGTCACTTCTTAGATACAAATGACTGGCATTTGAACTTTGGGCTTTGGACCTGAATGTGCTTTTTTTTGCTGTAGTTATTACCATAGCCATTACTAAGGACTTGCAGTATACATCTAGAAAAAAGTGTTATCTACTTAGACAGGAAAGAAACTTCATCACATTCTTTAATATAAGCAGTATTTTGATGACGTTGCTGTCTTTCTCATAGTGAGAGCAGGCATCCATGTACCGTATGTTCCTTCTCATCACTTGCAGTGACTTAACAAGACAGGAGGTGTTGCTCACTGGGTTTCTGCCTAAGTGGGAATCCAGAGGGCTCTTGCTGTGCGGCGTAGAGTTACGCTCATGACGGGGTAGGGAGGATTAGGTGACAGGGGACCCAGCTGTTGTGCTATGCAGGAATGTGGTGGCACTTCTCAGTAAGTGGGGCTTGACTTTTTCCTGAGAACTATGAAGAACTGTTTGGAAGGCTAAGAGACGTTGTAAACATGTAATAGTAGGAAGCCAAGAAAATCTTGCTCTTTGCAGTTCTTTCCTCTCAGGATCAAGTGTCCTCTGTTTGGTGCATACACAAACAACGTAGGGCATCCTGATCTTTTGTAGATTTCCTTTGTCGCTTCTACTAAGAGACTGCTTTCATGAAAACATGAAATAATGCTCTAGAAATCTGAAGAGCCGCTGAAGCGAGTGACTCTTTGCAATTGTTTTTTAGACACACAGAGGCAGCTTTCTTGTGAGCAGAGGGATACTTCAGGCATCATCCTGCCTTTGCAGAGGAAAGTACAGTCGTGCCAGGCATTTTAAGTCAAGCAGGGAGTCTGGCAAGATTTCTCTGTGCGTGGCTGGGAGTTTTAATTCCTGTCACTTCGGAGAGCTCTGGGATAACAGTAGAGAGGTGCTGTTGTGCAGGTTTTTCTAACTCCTTTTTGGCAGCTCCCGAGTGAAATGTTCCTACCTTCACAAGATCCCCCAGTATCGAGCAGATCAGTAGGATGCACAATCACGGTCCATTTACGTACCGCATATTTCGCGCGAGTGCCAGCGGTCTCCCTGTGGCACCGTGAGAAGCGGCCGGGTGTCGCTTTGTTTCCTTGCAGTGATCACAGGGCAGCAGCGCGGCGCCGTCATCTCGGCCCGGACACGCATCGATGTTCTTCTCGACAGCTTCCGTAAGAAGCAGCCCTTCACACACTTCCTGTCCTTCGCTCTCAACCAGCCCGTCATCCAGGAGAAGTTCCTGCAGTTCAAGGAGGAGGTGCTGGAGAAATGCTCACAGGTAAGAATCCACGCGAGAGCTCCAGCTGGAGGAAACCTCTTCAGCAGTCTCTCATTCGCTGAGAGAGGCTTTTGCCCTTTACCTCAGAGGCCTTATCCTTTGCTTCCTTTCCTAGCGGTGTATTTCTTACAGGCCTTTTGCTTAAGTTGGTGGCTCTGCTGTGAGTTTATTGGGAAACCTTTTGGAATGCAGAATAGCTTAGTTAATTTGCTGTCAAATATGTTGTTCTCCTTTGAGATTTTCCTAGGTGGGATGGTATTTTTAAGATTCAAACAAGGGTTGTTTCTTCTGGGTTTTTGATTTTTAATAGGAAAGGTTCTAAATAATGTAACAGACCTTTCTACATTTAAAATGATTTCATGTAACTGTGAAACCAAGGAGCGATTCACAAGTTTGCTGCTGCTTCTATTTCACTTTTCTTTTGGTTACTGACAGTGGATGAGGATAGGTGTCAGGAAATGACTCGGTAGCACACGCCATCCTGCTAATGTAATCACTTCCCTTCTTCCCCTGAGAGCCGGTGCTGACAGTCCCTCCTACTTGCCTTCAGATCTGAGAGCACCGAGAGCAGCAGGAAACAGCTAGGCATAGTGAAAATAGGGATGGGATGAAGTGAAAGTAGAGCATTCCCTGTTGTATTTTAGTTTGCTGCTGCTTTGACAGAAATGGTATCTCAGTGCACAGGGCCAGCCTGGGAAGAGGGAATGATGTTATTAAATTGCTGTGTCCTCTGAGTCTGCTCAGAGGACATCTCTAGGCAAGAGGAGTGAGTTCCCCTTTGCAGCAGCTGAAGGTTAGATTGTATGCATGCAGCAGGGTTTATGGGCTAGTATTTTTACCGTTACATCCGTTGCTCCTGCTTATGCCTTTCAAAGGGAAAAGCATAACCTTCCTAATTGCACAGCTTGAGAAGTGTTGTTTCCTGTGTGTTTATGCCTTGTGTGTGAATTACCTGATGTCTGGGGAAGATTTTTCATGGTTGCTTGTACACCAATTGTCTCATCTCTAACAGCAGAACTGGGCTGGCTTTGCAGTCTTGTTTCTACAGGCAATTCTGATTTAAGTCCCTCTTCTCCACCCAGCTTTTTATTTCTCTGACATCTTTAAGAGGTTTCTATCACTCAGATTTTCACCTAATGTCAAGTACAACTGGTACTGGCCAATAGATACAGGAGCTGGCAATGAGTGCAATGCCATGAGAACTCATTCCTCAGGCTAGGAGACTATCACTGTCTTGATTTTCAGTCCCACAATCTAGCATTAACTACTCCTATATTAACGCTTCCCTTTATTAAATAAAAGCCCTGAAGTCAGGGGAATGGAAACATCAGACTGAGGACAGAGCGAGCCAGCCCTGGAGCTGGTGTCAGTGGTCGCCTGGCTCCCCCTGTTGGTTGTTCCAGTGCTTGTGGAGGTCACTGAGTTATGGGGAGAGAGGCACCTTTTGGGGGAACTGTTAACTTCAGCATGGGCTCTGGCAGCGTCTGCTCATGCCTATGGCCCTGGACTGAGACCACTGCATTCATCCTGGTGTTTCTCTTGTCCTTTATCCCCTTCCAAAGTGGCATATAGCTGCTACAGTCCTTTGCTTGAATCTCCCTTTACTCATCAGTCCTTTCAGATATATCTAGCCCTGCTCTGCTTGCCTTGGATCCTCCTGCTTATCTGATCTTCCACCTCTGGTTGTCTGCCAGCAGGCCTCGTATCTTCCTGCGTAGAGCAGAACCTTGCTCAGTTCTGGCTTCCTGGCTGCTCAGTATAGTGCAAATCTTTTCACTGCAACATCTCTACAATGCAGCTTCTTCTATTCATCTGCAACTAATGCCATCATCCACACCGTCATCCCGTGTCTTTATTCCTGCCCTATGTGGGCCTCACCTGATCTCGTTCCTCCCCTTGCATTTTTCTTGCCTGCTGCCTTGGTTGCATCTCTGCAGCCCACCATCAGCCCAGCCTCTGCTGGTGGTCTGCCTTGTTCTCCACATGCCTCCTAATCTGCCCCGTTGTATGATTTGTCTCCTGCTCGCTCTTAGCTGTCAGTTTGCATCATATCACTGCCTGCCATCCACTTGGAAATGTTTTCATAGATTTATCCTGGTGCTTTCCCCAGCATTGTCAGTCACATTCCTAAGGAGCTGTCTGGGAACATCTGCAAAACTTCCTGTGCCTGCTTGTCCTCCATGGCTGCAGAAGCTCAGGTTTGGTCAGAGAAGTGCTGAGACCACTGCTTGAGACCACGCTAACCTTTGTCTTCTCTAACCTTCTGTTTCTTCTGCAGCCTCTTCATGCTGTGTCTGGATAGCACAGCATTAGCAAAGCTCTGCTCGGTGGTTAGGGAACCTGCAGGCTGGAGCCACTGGCTGGAACTGTGCTCAGAACCAGCACTTAGACGTGACTCCTCCTCATTCCAGCAGCAGCACTCAAGACATCCTCTCTGCATTTTGCTGCTGTTGAGTCATCTGGGCACTGTTGGGAATCTCCCCAGGCAGTGGCAGCCGGGGCTGCCCTGCAGCAGGGCTCTCCACGCAGTGTGGGTGCAGGGTGCCCCTGATCTGGGGGTACAGGGTTGTATTGACCCTGTTCAGTGGCCCGTGTCTCTCAGGAGGCTTGAGAAGTTTCATTTTTAGCTTGAAATATATAAGTCAGTCAGAGGCAGGTATTTGGAGGTTTGCATATGGATAGCCAAGGAATACACAGGGCTTTATTTTTTCTATCCTTCCTTCTCCTGGTATTAGCAAAAAGGCTTCTAGATACATTGCTGCCTCTTAGTTCAGGAGTGTATTGCAGCCCTGTATGTCTCTCAATCACTCTGCAGCCAGTAATGCCACTCTAATACCACTTTATCTCACAGCGGGGTCTGCTGGAAAGCACATCAGTAATGAAAAACAGTAATTCAAAACTGTGCCTCACAGAGCAATAAGAGAGCTTATAGATTTGTCCAAAGCAACAGGATTTCTCAGGATGCTTAGAGACATCTGAATAGATTTCAGGGACACAAGTGTTGAGCTTCACTTCCTGTTGCAATTTGCTGGTGCAAAGCATTGCAGCATTAGGTAGACTCTAGTCTTTGCATGAACCTCACTAATAGTGGCAAGGAAGGGGGAAACTGGGGGGTGTGCGTGTGAGGGTTTCTTCTGGCCATTGAGCATTTGTGAGGGACTTTTCTCTCTGAAGCAGTTGCCATGACAACCATTCATTTATATTTTACAGCATAGGGTATGTTGGTGGTGTTATGCTTTCTGACTCTGTTTTTTTGTCCTCGAAACTTTCTGTTAGACAAACGTTGTGTCACGATACAGAGTGCTTTGGGTGTCATTCATATGTGGCATTAGGGCAGCCAGCCAGCGAAGCAGAGCTGTTTTGAGGCTGATTTAGTACAGAGATAAGGAGGTGGCTCACCTGGCTTGGGTCCTTAGTGGTGTGGTGCAGTGGGAGCTCAGGCTGTCTGGGTGACCTTGGGAGTCTCCTAGCACCAGCCATGCTGGTGTTGGAGTGAGGAGGACTGAAGCATTTGTTGCAGGTGGGTAAAGGAAAAGGTTTAGGTTCAGCAGTGAAATTGCCATGAAAAATCATGGTTGGGTTTTTGGAGCGGTGCAAACACAGCATTTGCATTGTTAACAGGCTGCAGATGTAGCATGGAAGAGAAATATGATTGCTGTAATAATGCCAACCTGTAAATATCTAACGTTAATGAGGTATTACATCTCACAGTGGAAGGGACAGAAAATGGGAGGGGTTTTTCAGCCTGCAGTTCTTCAGTCAGTTCAGGAAATGCTGTTTTTCTGGCTCGCTCCTTTGTTTGTGGGTTGGGGTGGGAGAGGGCATGTAGCTGGCATGCACTATCCTGCTATTAGGGAAAAAACAGAAAGCTGTCTGCAAATATTGGAAGCTCTTAAGACAGCAGAAAGGATGCAGCCAGGGAGGAAGAGCTAAGCAGTGTGATCCTTTGCCTTGTCACGCAGAAGGCTCTGCTTTGGTCTTTGGTTTCCCTGCTAAAGTGTCTTAGATTTATAGGAACAATGTGCTCAGACTTTGCAAAGAGGTGAAGGCTCCTAATAAAAGTCTTTCCTTGTTCCATCTAAAGGAGGAGAGCAAAGGTAGAGGGTCTAAGAGGGAGATCTAATTAAAAAAAAAAAAAAAAAAAAAAAAAGGAATTGTTAAAGGTACGTGCATGGAAATGTGTTGTTTTTTGTGCCCACGACAAGTCAGTGTCTGAGAGAGCGGCACAAGCTCAAATGGGCAGTCACACACAGATGATCCATACAGGGAACGTTCTTCCTGCCTCTCAGTGCATCCTTAGGTGGTTTGAGTGGTGAATTTTTGAGAGAAGCACTAGGGTCTGTTTTATGTGTTTGTGTCTTCTAGCAAATCCCTACAAACACGTGGCTTTCACGTTCCCCTGTCGAATGCAGGGGATTCTCCTGCTTGTCCTCACCACTCTGGTGCTGTGCTTTCCATTCTGCTCCTTGCTGTGCATGTGATGCAAGGAACGCTCACCTGTCACGACCCAGGGGAGGAAACTGGTGCTGGAGGAGTTTGTCACCACAAGGCACTCAGGTCTGTGTCTCGGAATCACTGAATCACCGAGATTGGAAGAGACCTCTAAGATCATCCTGTCCAACTGGCCATATGTCCCACTGGACACAGCGGTTAAGCATAGCAGAAACGAGCCTTGGATAAGTGGGTTCAAGCACTTTTGCATTTCAGTGAACTGAGCCCAAGTCAGAAGGGCTGCTAAGACATCTGCAGAAATGTTGCTTGCTCCAGAGAGAGCTACTTCAGACACAGCATCCCGCTCACACATGGGGGAGGTGGGATCTTCCGGCCTGTGAAAGAGCTGTAAGTGCTGTATGTGGGAATTTCGGGAGCTGTATGAAACACCAGGGGTAAACCAGGAGACTTGTCTGGGTCTTGACCCTTCTCTCTGCCCTGCTCTTCCCTGCTGGCTGTCCCAGCAGCGCAGTGTGCAGAGGTGCCATGCCAGCACTTTGTCAGCTGTCAGCCCCCACTCAGGCACTGGGAAAAGGCTGCTTTTGGGGCAGGTCAGTCCCTGTCCCAGAAAGCAAGGGTTGGGGTTTTGCTTTCTGTCCTGTGAACTGCTTTACTGTGCAGTCTTCATCACTTGTGTGCACTGTGTGAGTGACGTCAGATGCTTGTCTCTGGCAAGATGGACTCAAACTTTCTCCTGGTTGCTATTACCAAGCTGTTGTTTTGTATTGGGCCAAATATCCCCCAGCTATGGGTACCTTTAAAAGAGAAAGACCGATGGAGAGGAATTGTGTCTGGTCCTGCACATTAACAGCAGTGTGAGTGAAAGGGAGCAAAAAGGCTTTAGCTGCCTTCCCTCTGGGAAGGTGCGAGATGGAGGCACCCACCTTTCCTGTCCTATGCTCAGGGCATGCCTAATGTAATTCATCTGTGCTCGTTGCAGGTTGCTGCATGGTGCTGAGGCTTGCAGCATCCTTTGCCACTAGCAGGATTTGGGGTCTCAGCCAGCAATAAAGCAATTAGCAAGGCGAAGGCAGGTACATGCTCTGTCAGCTAGGGACGCTGAGTTTTGCTCATCTAGCCCAGCCTGCAAGTGCTGCTGTCAGCAAGGATATGGGTGTTGCCACAGCATGAACAATGCCTGATGAGATGTGAGGCATTACACCAGCTGAGGGATGCAGTGTTTAAACGTCAGAGAGGTTTTATTTCAAACTCTGAAGCTCGGTTAGAGACTTCAAGGCTGTCATTCGCAGTCATTGGGCTTTTATTTTTGGACATATAAACGCTTCAGCAGTGCTGGATTCTTCTGGAGCTTAAAGCGGAGGTTCATCAGTGTGCTGATGGGAAGTGGCCACCAAGTGGAAATAATTGTTTTAATATGGGTGTGTTAACCATCCTCAAAGTATTTTTATGAATATTCAAGAACAGAAAAGCATGTTCCTTAAAGCTGAGCACTGCTCCACCTGGGAACAGTTCTTCCTCAGCAACAACACGTAGCTTTTCTTTTAAAGGGAATTTAAACTTAATTCATCTCAGCAAACTATAGGGCACCTGGGAATGAGAAAAATGTAATTACCAGAGCTGGTATGGGCTGTGCTTGTGTTGTGAGGTGCAGCCAGTGTTTAGACAGGATTTAGAGGCTATTTAGAGCTTGCCACTGCAGCTGGCTCCAGCTTTATGGCACAGAGAACACACTTTGCTCAAGTTCTAATTTTGCACTGACTTGCACCGTGTCCATGGCTGGTGGCAGTCACTGCTCTGATGGCTGTGGAGGTCTGGAGCCTGCCCTAAAGAGCCCTGATCTGCCTTTGGACCTCACTGCAAAAGCAGGTGGTGTGCAGGCGTGTGGTGCTGGGCTCTGCCTCGCTCCCAAAGTCTGTGCAATTCCCTCTTGTTTTGAGTTTAAGACTAGCAACTTGCCTAGCGATGCAGAGATGAGAGGTTTGATGCTGGTGGCTTGCTGCTTGTTCCCTGCTGTGTGGATCCCTCTGAGAGGTGTTGTGTGTACATGCTTGAGATGAGATGCTGTGTTTGATTGATTTGTAGGATCATGGGGTCAGCAGCAGCCTGTTCCAGAACCCTGCAAAGCTCCACCTGACGCTGGGGACGCTGGTGCTGCTGAACGAACAGGAGATCCAGAGAGCGTGTGACCTCCTGCAGCAGTGCAAAGAGGACTTTGTAGAGTAAGTGTTGCAAAGGAATGTCAGCACCAAGGGCACGTGTAGGGGAAAAGAAGCAAGCTGTCTTTGATGAGGAATGATGAGGAGAGCAGCCTGACAGTGTATCTAAATTCCAGAAATTTAGGAGGCTGAATGTTTTGAGTAAGAGCAGCAGAAATCGCCAAGAAATCACAACCAGAGGGCACAGCAGTACTCTCAGCTCAGTCCCTGCAGACCTGCTCCAGACATTTCTTGCATCAGTCCCATTGTTTTTGTGGGAGCAATTCCTTGCTGTCCCCTGCCTGCTGCAGGGGGAGGGATGAGCTCCAGCACCTTCCCATGTTGCCTACAGCGGGCTCCAGCACACCGCTCCTTCCTTCCTGCCTCAGAGCAAATGCTGAGGTGTCCTTGACATGCATTTCTGGGTGCAGGGAGCGTGTAGGGAAGGCAGTGTGAGCCATGTGAGTCATCACTCTGAACCATTCAGCACTGGTTCAGGAACTGGGCTTTCTCACCGCCTGTTAACACGGAACTGCAGATATTATGGCTCAAACTGTAAATGTGTTTGAATGACACTGTAATTAGCTTATCTCTGTACGGCTTAGAAAATTGGAGATGGCCTGAGGGGCTGCTGTCCATATTTATTTATTTATTTTTGCAATACTTTTGCACGGAGGGCATGGATTCCTTATTTGTATTTCTTTATTTTCAACTTTGGTGCGTGAAGAATTAGCCACACTGTGCTAGCTGACACCTGTGGGAATCAGTGCATGGCCAAAATTCTTACCTCCTCTAAAAGGAAGGCTCCCTTTTTTCAGCTGCTGACCAGAAATGCAGAAGTATTTTCAGGGGAAGGAGCTGCCCACAGCAGTTGAAGAGTGCCACCCTCCTCAGGAGTGGATTGAGCTGAGACAGAGAAAATCTTGACTCTCCACTGCCTTTGGAGGAGGAGTCAACACTTGACTGTGTTGACAGGTATTTCCCCTGCCATAGCCAAATAAATAGGCCTTTAAAATCAATTTAGGCTCCCTTCCACCCATATGAACCTTCATTAGCATTCATTTATTTTTACTAAATGCAAGCAATACTGTCTGAAAGTCAGTGTGCCCTCTTTTTACAATTTTTGGGTATGTGGCCTCAAGTGTTTGTAGTCTTACTTGTGCTGTTTTCCTCCCAGTAATCATACTGGGAGAGGGAATTGCACTCTCCTGTTCCACCTGGTAAGTCTTACTGGGAACCTCTTGAGCAGGCTGCACAAAAGCAAGCAAGGTTAGAGCAAAGTCACACTCCCACTTAACTTGTGGTCATTACTTCTGCCTGCCCTGCACTGCCCACAAGACCTCAGCGCTGATAGAGGCGGAGGCACTTGCTCCTGGGAGCTCTTGCTGCAGCACACGCCTCCTGTGATGTGCTCCTGGAGAGCAAGGAGGTGGTGTGTTTGGGAGCAGATAGGCTTCACGGTGTGCTGCTGGGTGTGGGAGTGCATATTACATCCTCATGCAGTTCAGGTTTCGTGTTCCTGCCAGAGTAGCTGGTGACGGTTTTTAAAGCAGTTCTATGTACTTCCAGCATTTGTAAGTGGATGTTGAAATGTACTTAAAGCTGCCTTCTGCATCAAGTGCTTTTGCCAGTGAAAATCAATGAACTGGAGGCTTTGTGTCACAGTCGCTCTCTTTGTGGGGAAGGCAGCAGCTTCTCTGGAATGAGGAGTTACACCATTTGACTGCTGATAGCTTTTGTAAAAATAAATAGAGATTTCTGCTTTGAGATGGCCTGTGAGTACTGACAAGTTGACTTAGTGTATGTCTGAAACAGTGAATGTATGAATTCAAATTTAAATGTTTTTGTGGTATTTTTTGAGATGATGAGACAATAGCAACTGTAGCTTTTTGAGCTTTAGAAATTAGGCAGGAGGAATGCTACATGCTGCATTTCTAAAGCAGTGCGACGTTTTGCTTTTTCTTCCATTTTAGCCAAATTACGGGAGGCAAGCCTCTGAGCGTGGAGGTGACTGGAGTGGAGTACATGAACGACGACCCTGCCATGATGGATGTCCTTTATGCCAAAGTTCACATGAAGGATGGCTCAGACAAGTGAGTTCCTTCTCCTTCAGCCCCCAGAATGCAGGCAGCGCTGAGCAGCAGCAGGAGAAACCTCTGCTGTCCAAAGTCTGCGGGTGCTGCTTGCGATCCGTGGGCTGGCAGTCAGGAAGATTAAGTCATTCTTGCTTCCTAAACCAGTTAAGGCAGTGCTGTGTTTGGTCTTTGAATCAGTCCGTGGTGTTGTGGTGAAGGATGTCATTTGTTTCTGTAACAGTCTGTTGGAGTGAGTAATGGTGCTGTGGCTCAGGCAGTGATGAGATAGGCAAGGAGGTGCTCCCCAGGTGACTTAAAACAAGGACAACTTGGCCTCTGCTGCCTGGTTTCCAATGGATGGACAAGGTGAATCTGGATTTTATTCTGCAGCATTTCATTATTCTTAAAAGCCAGTTACACAAAAAAGTCCTTAGAAAAATGCAGCTTGGTCACAGTTGTTTTTTGTGTCCCTGAGTAGCCTGAAACACGCTGGGTGTGAAACACCTGTCTTCTGACCTCTGGTGTGCAGTGTCAAAGCCAGGTTGGTGCGTTTGTGCTGTTCAGTGCTCTGATGTGGCTTCAGCTGAAGGCTCTGCCACAGCGCTGTCCAGGATGCAGTGGTGGCTGGACAGCTTTCCTCCATCTCATTTTTGACAAGTGCATCACCAACAGCAGCGTAATCTCTTAAGTGCTTTCTCAAAGACTGGGGAAATGCAAGAGCCACCATCTTTCTGAACTGCTCATGTGAGGTGGTTGGGAAGGAGGCAGAGGAGCAGCCAGGAGAACTTTAGCCTTCTCTTCTTGAGTGTTGGCTTTCTCTTCTTTAGCTTGATCTTTTTCCAGCGGTGCTGCCCTTGCTGTCTGATCCCCTTGCTGGAGGACAGCAGGAGCTTGCAGGGGGTGAACAGCACAGCTGGAGGAGGAAGGTGCCAGCAGGAACCTGTTCAAGGAGGGGGGGATGTGTTCTAGCATCTTCTTTCCCCGAGGGCCCCATGCTTAATGCCCCAGGGAAAAACACACTTTGTTTGCTCTGTTGAAGTAAGAGATCGGATGTGAGATAAGAAAATGGTTGGGGGAAATGGAAGTGTAACAATTGCTGAGATTGGGTAAGAACCCAAATCTTCTTTTCCCATTCTCTAGTCTTCCACTTTGAAGTCTGTCCTACCCTGACAGAGGTGAGATAAAGCAGAGGGGGAGGTTGGAGAACCGGGGCAATCTGTATCAGCCAGGGGGAGGAAATGAGGGAGCACTCAGAAATATGAGGTAAATGCTGGATGACCGAAGTGCCCTTCATTCAGTGCTGTAGAAATCATTATGTATGAGCTCACTGAGCTGTAGACCCCTTTTCTTCTGAGTCTCCAGATCACCCCTTACGTGTGGTGCTCGCAAGTCTGCTTGTGCTTCTGTGCGTGTCTGTGACCAGACAGGCGGGAGCGTAATATGGTGCAGGAGTGTCTGCCTATGGCTGGGCACTGCTTGGATGGCTGGGGACTGATCCTGCAGCTTGCCTCGGGTGCCAGTGCTGCCTGTTCTGCTGAGGAGCCTTTTAACCGTTGTGCTGGAACAATATGTGGATGGGCTGGCAGAGCTGCTTGGGCTGGGGAGAGAAATGAGACCTTCCAATCTGCCTGCCATAGCAAACAGAGATGTTTCCTGAGAAAGGTGCTTGCTGCTGAGATAGTGCCTCCCTCTATCCTTCACGAAAGTCCCTAGCTGAGGCTTTGGCCTAACCCAAACCTTGTGCTTTGCACGTCAACTGGAGGCTGCCAAGCTTCTGTTTTGCAACGCTGCTGCTTTTGCTTGGAAATAGGCTCAGAGAGGGCTGTGTGATTGTAATGTTTTTTCCTCATCCAGGCGGGTCCTGCCCTCACCTGTGAATTGATGCATCTCCCCCAGCAGAATGAATTGGCACTTGTCTCTCTTGCCTGCTTAAACCTGCTGCTTTTTGCTCAGAGACATGAGCAAAGCAGGCTGGGAGCAGTTTTTCAGCTGTAAGGCCAATGCTGGAGGATCACAGCAGCCGTGTGCTGTGCCATGCTGCGCCGTGCTGTGCTGTGCTGTGCTGGCTCAGACTGCTGCAGCCCATGTAAGAGGTGTGTGCCTTCCTGCCTCCTGTGAGATGTTCTGCTGGCTGTGTGTGGCTCCTGGAGTGGCTGGAGGTGGAGTTCCTTCCTGATCTTTGGATGATCTTGATCAGCTTAAGCCATAAAGCAGGAGATTTGATTTACCCGACTTAGCTTGCATAACTGCAGACAGCATTAGGGGATGGCAAGCCCTTCTGCACATAGAATGGCTCAGAATGAGAGAGAGATCATGCTCTGATGCCTCCCGCACGGCAAATAATTTCCATTATAATTCATTCTAATTTGTTTTATTTCCTTGATTAACTTTATAATGCAATAAAGCCCCATTTTCACTCGAGCTATTCTCTTTTAATTTGTTTTAGTATTGTCCGTAATGATATTCATTTAATCTTTGTCATTGCTAATTTTAAAAATCACTGATGTAAAGCCAGAAAATAGCAGAAAACCATGACAGTCGGAAGTTGGAGAGTCCAGAAATTGCCGCGTGGCTGCCGGCAGCCCACCGGGGGCGAGGCGCAAGCAGGCAGTGTAGGAGCTGGCAGCTGGAGCGTGGCCACCCCAAGCCCTGGGGCCAGCCAAGCCTTTCTCAGCTCCAGCCTGCTGCTGTGGGCCCTGTGGCTGCTGTGGGCCCTGCGCTGAGTGGGTCCCGTGGGGCCCAAGTGCTGAATGCCCCGGGGAACGCAGGTTTGGGCGTTGGCAGCAAACTCTTTGCTATGCTGAATCCGCCCCGCTTTGTGGATTGTGTGCAGCAGAAGCCGTGTGAGTGGAGGAAGGACAGAGGAAGCCTTGTAAAACAGCCAGAACTTTTTGCAGGATAACTGAATTCTGATGGCTCTGTTTGCTTCCCCTGCTCTCTTTTCCTGAGCGAATGCGGAGAACTCATTTCACACATGCTGTCCTTCCTGGCAGAAGAGCGAAGCGCTGACAGTGCAGCAATTTCTTGTCAGCTTACTTTGCTCCGTTCTTTCTCCTTTTGCCTTCCCAGGCTGCAGATGATAGCTGATCAGCTGGTGGAGAGGTTTGTGGCCTCAGGTTTGATGCTTAGGGAATGGGATAGGGTGAAACTGCACGCTACTGTCATGAACACGCTATTCAGGAAAGACCCAAGCGGTGGTGAGTATTCTTGTTATTTACTGGTAAATGCATTGAATCACTAGAGTTGGAAGGGTCCCTGAAAGACTGTCTGGCCCAACTGCTCTGCAGCGAACAGGACCACCCACAGCTCCATCAAGAGCTCTGAGCCCTGTTCCAGCCTGATCTTGGGTGTCTGTAGGGACGCAACCTCTCTGGGCAGCCTGTGCCAGTGCCTCACCACCCTTATTGTAAAACACTTTTTCTTTATATCCGGTCTAAATCTCCCCTCTTTCAGTTAGAATCCATTTCCTCATGTCCATGTAACACAATACCACTGAACAGGAGGTATTTTGGTCAGTAACTGTTGACTTTCACACTTTTTGTGTTGGGTTGCTTTTTTTTTTAAAATTATTTTTGTGCTTATTTTAATCTTAAAAGTGCCTTGAAGATTGTATGGGGGATGTTGCTAAATAAAACCCAAGAAAAACTGAAAAAGCAGCCAGCAGAGCTAGAGGAGGCAGACGTGCTTTGAGTACTTTCTGGGTCCTTTCTAAGGTTCTTCTCACAATTTCAGACCCACTCTTGGCCAGCAGCACTCACAGGAATCTTGCCCTTTGGAGGGGGGGGCCTGCTGGCAGTAGCATCCAGTCTGTGTGCTGAACTGCTCTATCAGGCATGTGAGGCATTCGGAGACAATGAGGAGAGCTTTACCCAGGCAGCCATAGAAATCACTTTATGTTCGATACGGGATCTGATTGGCATTGTTGGTTGTGAGTGGGAACTCGTAGTCAATGCTGGAGATGTAGAAGAAATATTGAATGTATTCAGTGAGTGTGGCAAAGGTCCCTTAGAAAGAGCAGATTATGTACTTAGGGATTATATAAAACTTCAGACATCCTCTGGGGAGATAGATCTGAGATGGAGACATTTGGCACTCACTGAAGGCTTGGATCGCTGTTCTCCATGTCTCTGTGGGTGGCTGCTTCCTTGCCTCACATACACACACGTAGATGGTATGCAGGGATGCTCCCCACAGCAGGTGCCCTCCAGAATCACCTCAACACCAGCTGTGTGCAGGGTCTTTCCGCCAGGTGTTGCAGGTAATCCTGGTGGAAGCACTGATCCCTGCACAGTCAGCACGGATATCTTTAAGATCAAAGTGGCAGTGTTTTTGCATGAAGAGCTGTGTGAGGATGGTTTATCAGCTGGCAGCTGACTTTGGGGAGGGGAGGATTGGGGGGTGAAGTAGAGCACACACAGTTCTCCTATCTAAAGCTCATTCTGGTGGTGGCTTTTCTCTTTCCAGCTGAAGAGCGAAGCAACACAGTGACTGGTAAATCATCCTTCAAGGAGAGGGAGTCGTTTAATGGGCGAAACATCCTCAAGGTCAGTATGAAACAATTAGAGAAATGGAGCCAGCTGCTGATATTAGATATCCAGAAGAGGTTGAAGCACCTCTTTAAAACTGTCTTTGGCTTTGGCGTATGGGATTTCCCAGAGCAGGGGGCATCTGTTTAGGAAATAAACAATCTAGATCACTCCTAGTTGGGAGCAGTACAGTATTTAACAGAAGCGTTCTCAAAGCTGGTGAGCTCAGATCAGGAATACGTCACACGAATGCTAAGTGGGTGTTGGTGTTGTCGTTCACTTTGCTCGTATCTTACCCTAGAGACTTAGAATCCTGTTGGTTTGCAGCCCACCAGAAAGGCAGACTTTGTTGCTCTTGTTTCACTCACTCATGCTTGTTTTTATGCCGCTAAAACTGCCACTTCACATGCTCTTTTTGTTTGTTAAATCTCTGCTATTAGTTTGCATGGTTCTGCTCCAGAAAACCAGTGGTTAGTGGGGGTCAGAGTCAGATTTAGTGTTGATGGGAGGGCAGGAAGCGAGATTCCCCAGGCTGCAGAGGTGGCAACACTGGGCTGATGTGCGGTGCTCACACACCGTGAGTGTCCAGGGAGAAAAGACAAGCCTGGAGAAGGGAATCAGTGCTGGGTTATAAGCCAATTTAAATCCTCATTGTGTGAGCTGATTTGTTATGATAAGAGGGAGGCAGGAGAGCGCATGAATACGTGCATTCACATCGTGAAATGATAGATGTTCTGGTCACAAATTGGCAGTGGAGAGACATGAGCAAAGATGCAGATCGGATGCGAAATGGACAGCTCGAAAGGACTGTGGGCATCAGGGGACAGAAGAGGTGTGTTTTGTGTTTGCAGTTCTGCTGTGCAATGTATTAGGTACTGGCTGCATGGGATGTGAAGACAGAGAGCAGAGCTGATTGATCTCCTCTGCGCAGAGGACAAACAAAGGGACAAAATTAGGTTAAGCTCTCGCCGGCTGTGCGAGCACGGTGTCATGACTCAGCACTGCCACGTGTGGAGCGCTTGCTGTGAGACCTCAGGGCTGCGTGGCGGAACGGGCCACTGATGGATGTGGCCCCTTTTTCAGCTCCCCAGCACCTGAGCTGGCTCTGGAGAAGGCAGGTAGCAGCCCCAAGTGCCTGGAGGGACTCCGTTTCCAGGGAGCGTCTGCTTTTCGCTTTGCCCATCGGTCCTTTTTGCATTTGCTGATCATGTCCTTAGACTTCAGAGAGACGTAAAATTCAGCTGCCCTTCTTCGTTAATGTTCCTCATCCAAAAACATGCATAGTTTGAAAGGCATTACGCTGCTCACTTGATTTTTGCAGCACTCGTGGGTTGCACTGTGGGACCGTGGGTCTCGTGGTGCACGACGCTTACAAATGCCCCGGCCCTACCTCAAATGCCATTTTTATTTGGCTGCTCTCTGAAATCAGAGCTGAGGCACTTTTAAAACCCCTAATTGATTCTGTACGGATGTAGCCCAAAGAGCTGCTGGCTGTTTGGACTGTTGATGATCACTTCAAAGCATGCCTTCCTGCAAGAAATGTCATCCTTCTCCCCCACCTCCACTACATTTCCTAACCTACTCGCTTCGTATTTCCCTTTGGTCTCCCACGTGCCTGCAGCAGAGCACCCGTTGGCATTAATTAATTACATGAGTCATAAATAGCTGCAGGCTTCTTACCCGAGGAGCCCGGCCCCAGCTGGCCACCAGTGTGCTCCAGCATGACCTTGCAGAACTGCACCACGTCCTCTTTTATATACATTATTTATCTGCTGCTCAGTGAGGTTGCCCTCTCGCGAAGCGGCTGTTAGCTCCTGCAGCAGGGTCTAAACGAAGGGCATCGGTGAGCGCGGAGTCAAGTCGTCATGCTGGGCCTCCTCCTTGCCCGGCTGTGGCACTGCCAGGCACGGGCTTTTTTTTTTTTTTTAACTCAAGATGCTGTCTCTGATACATGGCAGGTAATAGGCATCCATGAATGAGTGCTTCACACAATATTTTTTTTGTTTTGGGGTGGGGTATCACAGAATCACAGAATTGTAGGGGTTGGAAGGGACCTCCAGAGATCATCGAGTCCAACCCCTGGCTTGGCAGAGGGCGAGACCTGCAGGTAATGGTGCACAGCGAGGTGAGGATGGCCCAGTTCTGCCACTCCCCGGGGCTGCAGCTGATGCCTGCGTGCAGATGGCAGCAGTGTTTGCCGATAGGCTGCCTGCGCTACCCCGGGCTCCAGCTGGTATTTTGCTTTTGGCAGAACTCATCAGAATTTTATTGAATAATCCTTTGTTCTCCCCATTCCACAGAGTTAAACACACACTCCTGTTTGTGCTAATAAATCGTTGTGCAGGCCGGTGCCTTCCCACACTGCTCAGAAAATAGATCCTGTAGGATGAGTTACATTGAGGAGTTTAAATTCCCTCTGTCTTGAAGAATATTTGTGCAAAAGGTTCCTTGATTTGTTTGGTGCAGAAAGCCCAGGGGAAGCGTGTGAGTGATTTATGCCTCCCATGAAGGTGCGAGACGCTTTGGCTTTGTTCTTGTCTAGCTGAGTCCCAAGGAACAGGGCTGCTTTATGAAGCATTTCATACAGAGCAGTACGTATTGCTTCCAGGGAGGTGGTGTGCCAGCTCCTCACACGTCCAAGTCACAGACCGCAATCCTGCTCCAGCATCTCCCATGTGAGTAAGGTCAGGCTGGGCACAGCAGGGAGATGCCAGCTTGGCAGCCCCTTTGTGCTGCCTCCTCCTCCTCCCCCCCTGCCCTGCAGGGTGGCTGTGTGCCCGGCGTCGCAGCTGGCGCAGTGCTGGCACTGAGGTAGCTGGGGCAGCTGCGTGCATCTCTGGAGCCAGGGCTTGGCTGCCTTCAGGCTTTTATTTATTATTTACTTGGTCATTTATTTATTTTCCCCTGTGAAAATGCTAAGGCTGTGGTGAATAAATAGGAATGCAAAGGAACGTGAAGATACAGCCACAATGTTCCAGGATCCTTCAAAAAGGCTTGCGGTAGGAAGAGAGCCATCTGAACTCACACAGAACTGAAGGATTGTATCTTGAGGTTTGGGATATAAAAGGGTGGCCTGTGCTGTGTGTGGACAAAAGGTAAGCACGTTTTGAGCAAGGAAAGGAGTGAACCCTGCCTTAATGGCTTACGAGATTACAGACTGAGGGAGCAGCTCTGCAGGTGCTGTGGAGCAAAGCTTCGGCAGGCACTGAGCTGATGTGCCAGGCCTGCAGCTGGGTCCATCAGTATAGAAGCACGTGCTGCTGGGACAGACAAGGTGTGACCCAACCTGGCTCCAGAATTTAAGGGCATTAAGTTACGGGGCCGTGTCCTCTGTCACTTGGGGTTTTTATTCAGTGACAGACCAGTGCTGGTGGGTTGCATGCAGACCTGGTGGTGTTCTCTGTTGCTACTTCTGTCTTGCTGGACAGGAGTAGTGCAGCAGCTGTGGTATTGCAGCAGTTCAGTTTAAGACGTTTGATGCAGCACCACATGAAAGCAGAATCTTGGCCTTGAAGTCCTCCCTGTACCCTGAAAATACCCTAAGCCCAGCAAGCTGTTAAGCAAAGAACATCTGCCTCTGCACAGTCACTGCTGCCAGTTCTCCTGTGGACTGACGAGTGCTGCATATGTTCTGCAGCCTCTGGCACCTAGACTGCATCTCTGCAGCTTTCCTTGGGGAGTTGGATGGACTTTTTCCCATCGTAGTTTTTAAATCGGAAGACCCACATTAGGTGAGATCAAGTCTTCCTAGTGTGCAGAAAAAATGATCTGGTGGTCCTCCGTGGTGAGATGAGAGTATGTGCCCAGCACAGCTCTGAGAACTGGAGCAAGTGTGTGCTCTGCAGAGGGGAGATCTCTGCCTTCAGTTCTGATCGTGCTGCTATCGAGGGAGAGACGGGCAGCCAATGTATGCATGATTCTGGGAGGAAAAGGAGATGTAGTTGGGTCACTGTGAAAACGTCTTCCTACATGTGGGCTGTGTTTAGTGCTGGAAAGAAAGAGTGCATTGAAAGTGGGGAGCTCATCACAGAGGCACCCTGGCCCTTCTGCTGGCTAATCTCCCGGTCTGCCTGACTTAATGGGCTTGCTCTGTGTCCAGGCTCCTCCTCTCAGTGACTGTGAACAGATCTGGGAGGTCACATTGACAGGTCCTTGTCCCGGTGTTCCCAGGTGTTTTGCAAGCCTCTTGGCATCACTGCAGCAAAGCCAAAGCCCAGGTCCTACAGCACCTGCAGCAGCTGTTTTTAATGGGGAGTGCTGGGTGCCACAGGGGTGAGGCTGCTTTGGAGAGATGCAGGGGTTGATCGTTAATTCCTTAAACCAGTTGTACTGTGAATCCCTCACATTGGAAGTTAGCAGAGCCTTTAATTTGCTGGGGTGTTTTATTCTTGTCAGAAAGATGTGCGAGGATGCAGTAACCTCCAAATGTCCCACTTGTGTTTGTTTCTTAGTTTGCAGAATGCCTTTCACCATAGCAACTAGGGCTTGCTTTCCTCAAATGCATGAATTTTCATTGATTTGCAGCAAGGAGGGGAAATGACCCAAAACCCTGTGCTAAAGCAAAAGCTTTGCAGTGTGACAGAAGCATCTCTGGGTTCTGCTCATGCAGGACGAACCAGACAGTCTCTGCTGAACAAAGACTGGATGTGGCCCCAGATAGCTCTACTGGGAAGAAGGCAAGCCTGCATGTACCCTCCTTCCCTGTTTCCTGTGCAGACAGAACCCAGCAATGAGCTCCTCCTGCCTCAGGGATGTAGAGGACAGTGAGGCCATGACCTCCCTTGGCCCTTTCTGAGCTCGTTGCTTTATGATCACCATGTAAGATAGATGCAAAACACCCATAAAATGGCATTTGCTTATGTACCAAAAGCTCTGTGGCATTTAGGTGGCATTTACTCTGGCTCAGCAAAATAAAAATATAAGTAAGAAATCGCCTGTCATGCATGCCAAGAACGCCCTGCATTCTGTGCATCGCTCGCTCTGACATGAGTGGTACTTTTCCAGGTAGAATTGGTTTATGTGTGACTGCTGTCCAAGGGGCAGAATGGGTGATTTAAGCAGGAGGGCTTCTCCTTTGTCACCACTGACTCGTGTCTTGCACAGGGCTCGCGCTAACCCTGGGTGCCGATCACTTGTCTGCAATTTCAGGTCTTGTGTTGCTTTGCTGCAGAGCAAGAGAATATAAATGACTGGACAAGACGGGCTGAATGCTAATGGTAAGGGAGTTAGTGCTCTGCTTCCAGCACAGGCCTGCTGCGCTCCCCCAAGACAGGCTGCCAGGTCTTCTGTGAGTGGCTTGCCTCCCTCCTGAAGTCTGGATGCTTTCTTTTTTGTAAGGGAAGAGAGGCTTTGGATGCCCAAACAGTGTAAAGAGCCACAGGAAGGGAGCCCTGACCAGTGTCAGCAGGGGGTGGGCACTTCGTGGTGAGACACTGCTGTGGATGGGTGCTGCCTACCTGCTTCTGGTGTTTGTCTTGTGTTGCTGCTGGTGAGCCTCCAAGTGCAATTAAACCCCTGGCAGATAGTCATTGGCATAGTGGTGTCCGCAGTGAATAACACAGGAATCAGATGTTTCTTTCTTGGCACCAAAGTGTCTCAGAAAACATATTTTGAAAGTGAAAATAGAAGAGGAAAAAATCCATTAATTGAACAAGCTTCCCAGATCTTGACAGCTTGCCCAGTTAGGTTTCATCCTCTGTGAGCCCGCAGAGGATTTGGTTCAGGTTTGTCTGGGGGACTTGGAGGGCCTCTGCTGGAAGGGTTTGCTGCATTTCTTGGGGTGAAGAGGGAGGAGCTCCAGGGCAGCTTCTGGAGATGGAGGCTGTTAGGTTGGCCTGCAGAGCTCTTAGCAGAAGTGCATGAAACCAGACATGCTGACCCCGCAGGTCCCTGATCTACCAGCAGTTTCCCAGCACTGGGTTGTGTCTGTGAGCGGGAAGCAGCTGTGACAGAGGAGGGGCTCCGGCAGGCAGAGGGTTTGCTGGAGTGGATGACTTCACCTGGTCTTTCACATTTCTAACCCAGCCAAGGAGAGCAGGGCACCTGACTCTTCCTGCCAGCGGGCCTCAGGCAGACAACAGTGCACACATCACTCGCCTGCAGGGCTGATTCACTGTGGGCAGTTTTGTACTGCTGAGCCATTGTGCCCCTGCCTTGGGGCACTGCTTCCCAGCCTGGATCTCCAGCAAAGCCAACTTCTCCCCACAGAGCAGGTGTGTGTGTGCACCTCTGCATCTTCTTCTGCGCTAATGCTGCTCTTTGCTGGGAGTTTTTAATTGTAAGGCATTGGCATTGTGGTGAATTTTCACTCCCTCGGCGTTTCTGAGCTCTCAGCAGGGCAGCACGGGCTCGTTATCAATTCCGGATGGGTCATTTTTGGCTGACTGCTGGAGACAACGTAAAGCTTTACAGCGATCAATAACCCTGACGGCAGCGCAGAACCCAGGCCAGGCAGCGCGAACACAAGCCAGGGATTACGTGGAGGAAGTTTTAAGTACCTTGGCCTTCCTCCCATCACCTGCGTTCCTTCTGTCCTCCCACTGCCGTTAATGCTTCTCACTCTTGTTGAGCCCGTGACAGGTGACGTGAAGGCACGAGCTCGCATTGGCAGCTCTGCTCTCTGGCAGCGGAGCCGAAGCGTGGTGCAGCCGTCCCAGCACGGGGCAATGCCATGATTTATTGCTGCTGTTTCTGAGTTTGCACACAAAGGTGCCGCTGCGCTCCAGGAGAGCTGCTTGACAAATGCCCAAATGCATACTTCTTCCAGGAATCCTTTGCATTTATTTCCCCAGTGTTTTGGTCGTATCTGCTTCACAAGCTGAGGCAAAGGAGGAAAACGTGCAGAAATAGCCCTCCTGTTAATGTGCCACTCTGACTCTGCTGGATTGCTGTGGTTGGGGACTGATGTTTGGAGGAGCGTGTTTGCCCGTCGTTCATTGTTGTTTGATGTGCAAGTATTTTCCTGCTGTGCAGGCTCAGCACATCTCCAGTGCCTTCGCGCTGAGGTGCAGGACTTGAGGTTAAATGTTAGCAGTGTGCTCTCCTTGTTGAGGTCTAATTTGATTTGGGAAGGCAGAGGGTACTTAGTTGAGTGATGCTATTCCCTCAAGGGGCATTAGGAGGTGGCACGGCGTGTGCAGGGTCAGCTCTGCAAATTGAGCTTTTCCTCCATCGGGCTTGTTTTCATTTATAGTATTAAGAAATCCCCCATCCCACCCCCTTATTTATTCCTCAGGCAGTGAGGATGTAAATCCGTTGGCGTGTTTGGATTTAGGGCATTGCCTTGTTGCTGCTGAGCCTGGCTTCCTGCTCCAGCCAGATGCCACGGCTTGTGGCAGCCCTGCGAGTGACCTGCATCTGCTCCCTACGAATCCACACCTCCTCCCCTCTGTGGCCCTGTGGGAAGGAGAACTGCACCAACCTCCAGGGCTCTCCTTTTCCAGAAGAAAAGGAAAAACACAAAGTGCTCTTCCATTTCATTGGCCTCCCCACAAGCAGAGCATTTCTGTGGTGGGAGATATATATCTTTCTCAGCTCTTGCTTGGCTTCTCCCCAGGATAAATAGATGTGGAGGCTGAGCCCTCTGAAGCCTCTCCCAAGCCCCCAGGATGACTGTGGGATGTTTGCTTGTCGCAGAGGCGCAGAGCCCTTGGATGAGGTGCTCCAGGGCCTCTTTCTCAATTGGCCGTGGTGGCTCTGGGCTGTGTGGTGCTGTGACTCTGATACTCGCACATGGTATCCAGTTGCCTACAAGCGCAGAGGAGCATCAGTAGGAGCTGGCTTGAAAGGAGAGCAGGAAAAAAATAGGGCTGTGGCTGCCCTTTAAATCTTGTAGTGCATTTGCTCTCAGAAAGTACAGCTGCATTACCAAAAATCAATAGTCCTAGCAGTGTTCTCCATGGGAAACACACGCACTCAGACTCGCAGGAGGTAGTAGTGCTTAAAAAAGGCCGTGGGAATACCAAGTGCTTCAGTACAAAGGCTTTGCTTCACTTCTAGCAGCGTGCAGATGGAGCAGCCTTGCCCCAGCTGCTGCCTTCTGGGGCTCTCCCATGGCCTCCCCCATCCAGTGGGGGCTGCCTTGCTGGCTGCTCGAGGGGCACCTTCCCATTCTGCTCTGCCCAAACAAGAAGAAAAGAAGACCATCCACTTCCCCAACATCTTATGAGGCATTTAAGACCTACCCAGCCTTTTGGAAACATAATTAATCTTTAATTGTATTCATCTTTAATTGCATCAAATGGAGTTTGTGTGTTGGCAGTCATTCTTCTTCCCATCCTCTGCACCTCTAGGAGAAACCCCCCTGGGACAACCTTGTTCCAGCAGGGCTCTGGGGATGTGACGGGCAATGGCGAGCTGTGGGGTGCTTCTTCCAGGCCAGCTGTTGGTTTTGACCATGAGGTGCAGGGAGGCGATGATGGAGGAAATGGCTCTGCGGAGCAGTGCTTTTAATTCATGAGTGCGTTTTCTGCATCCTCCTGGAATGGAGCAGGAGCAGGCACTGCATTCCCAGCAGTGTCACCGAGCTTCCCTGTGAGAACCTGATGTCATCTTTTGGCTGGCTTCATGGATGGGATGAATGGGCTGAGGCGTGCCTCTGGCCCCAGCACGGCTCACATGCATGAGCCCGCTGCCAGTCCCTTGCCAAATGGAGGAAGGATTGTTGAGCAGAGTGGGGTCAGTGCTGGGATGGTGCCTGCTGACCCCGGTTCGGACCAAGCCTTATTAACCATAAGCCCTGCGGCCTGGGCCAGAAGCAAACACCCTCTCCTGAGAGTGCATGCCATAGCTGTGCTGGGATGGGGAAGCAGGCTTGGCAAGCGGCACGCGGCCCTGCAACAGGAGCAGCTGCAGGCTGAGCTGCTGTTGTCGTTCCTGAATGGCTTTTTCTCCTCTCATGCAGCTCTTTGAGAACTTCTCCTTCGGCGAGGCGCAGCTGGATGCGGTGCTGCTCTCCCAGCGCTACTCCTCGGATGCATCTGGGTACTATGGCACAGCAGGGCGGCTGCTACTGCACTGACTAGGGGACGGTTGCTGCACAAGTGATGGAGAGTAGTGGCTGCGCGTGGCTCAGGGGCACCTTCGGCCTTGTAGTATGGCTGTACTGCAGGGGGGAGCCTGGGGCTTGTGGGGGGGTGTGCGATCCCTCTGCCCTATTCGGCCACAGTGAGAGCTCAGCTCCAGTAGTGTGCCTGCCTGGTGTCGGCCTACAAATAAAGGAGTTTTGTTTACGGGCAAGCATTTGTCTCTTGTTTCACTGATGGCTCCTGTGCTTAAGCTCACGGCATAGGCAGGGCTGCCCCCCCAGGCAGCTCCACTGCCCATCCGTGGCACTGTGCACCTCCAGGGATGGGGCACCCACAGCTCTGGGCAGCAGTGCCGGCACCTCGCCGCCCTCTGTGTGAAGAATTTCCTCCTGTCACCTAAGCTAAATCTCCGATCTTTCAGTTTACAGCCGTTCCCCCTCGTGCTGTCGCTCTGCCCACGCGCAGAGTCGGTTCCCCCTCCCGTTTACAAGCTCCCTGCACGCGTCCTTATTGCTACCGCAAACGAAAGCGTGCCTTTCCCGCAGAGCCGGCGCGCGGTACGGGGCACGGCGGGGCCGCCGGCAGCGGAGCTGGGGCCGGCCCGAGGGGCGGTGGGGCTGCGGTAGGGGAGGGGCTGGGG